AGATGGGGAGGACAAAGTCTTATAGCTGTGATCAAGAGGTTAAGCTTAGCAACTGTGGGGGAGAACTATCCAAGACCTGACTCTACAGAAAGTTTTAAGGCTAAACATTTAGGCAATTAGAAAGAACAATGGAATCCGGAGACTGGCAGCAAAAGAAAATACTAAAACAAATTTTAAAGACTATGGAGAGAGGCCGGGCGTGGTGGCTCAAGCCTGTAATCCCAGCATTTTGGGAGGCCGAGACGGGTGGATCACGAGGTCAGGAGATCGAGACCATCCTGGCTAACATGGTGAAACCTCGTCTCTACTAAAAAATGCAAAAAACTAGCCGGACGAGGTGGCGGGCGCCTGTAGTCCCAGCTACTCGGGAGGCTGAGGCAGGAGAATGGCATGAACCCGGGAGGCGGAGCTTGCAGTGAGCTGAGATCCGGCCACTGCGCTCCAGCCTGGGCCGCGACAGAGCGAGACTCCGTCTCCAAAAAAAAAAAAAGTAAAGACTATGGAGAATAGCACTATTATTTTAAAGATATGGACAAGAACAAAATACAGTAACAATTGCTGTTTACATCTCCTGTGTGCAAGATAATATTTTAGGTTATTTACCTGCATCATGCCTAATTTTATGAAGAAACTAACTCTCTGGAATGGACTTGCTTTCTAAACGGAAAGTCAGAAGTAGACCTGCCAGAGACAAATGAGTTGTAGGTAGGCTTATGAGAGATCCATAAACAATATGCTGGCTAGAAGCTTATAGGCTAAGAGGCATATATTTCAAGCACACTGATTCTATGCAGTGGAAAGAAGGAATGTAATTTGTCATATGCCTACTATGTGTTGGATACTCTTCCAAATGTCTTACATATATTAGTTATCAAAAATCCTGCATGACAGCAATCACAATTCTTGATCTTACAGATAGGAATTGGAGGATCAGGGTTGTTTCATGTAACAATATCCAAAGCATGAGACATTTTCTTCCTCCCAGACATTTCTTACTATTACTGAGAAAACATTTTGAGCAGCTCCCCAGCAGACTTCGCTTCCAACTCCCACTGACCAAGAGTCCTGCTTCCACAGTAACTTGGGGGGAAGGGTGATGAGACCACCATTATTGGTGGAAATGATCCTTATTCACCTCCAGTGGAGGCTGGGTTGAAAGATCCCAGCCTTCACAAAGTATGGGCCCTGCAGAGGGAAAAACCAACAGTGTCCATAAAGTCAGCTTCCTTGGGAAATATAAGAAACAGAAGAATTAGTTCTACTCCAGTCCATAGTCAGGAATTTTGGTGATAAACCGAATACTGTGATAACTGTTACTCAGAAGAGAGAACATGTTACTTGAGCCCAGCCTACATAATTTCTAGTTTCTGTTTTCACAGCTGACTTAAACACTTTGGTTAAACACTTTTTTTGTCATCTACGACAGTTATCTCATTTGCCCTGCATATTGGTGAGACTTAGATGAAGAAATTTACATGAAATTCACCTATTTTTTTATAGAGGGCTGAGGAAGATGAGGAGATAAGAATTTAAGGCAACTAAAAAGTTCACAATCATTAGAGAAAGGGACTTAAAAAGACTGCTGAAGTGGAATTTTCAGAATTATAAGGGGTTAAAAATGGTAAGAGTTGGAAGGGAGATGAGAATGGGGTAAAGAAAGGTTACTCAGTAAAGCAGAAGAAAACATACTTTCATTGCCGAAAAAAGATATTTATCTAATGTCCTTACATTTGGAGAAGAGACATAAAATGAAACATGAGGGAGGTGGGCAGCATGTAACAAGATATTGATATTCCTCATGTAACAAGTTTTTGTACTGTTGATAAAAAAAAAACCACTGGAAACTCCTTCAACTTTTACACACCACACCTTAAGATATTGATATTCCTCATGTAACAAGTTTTTGCACTGTTCATTTAAAAAAAAAAAACACACTGGAAATTTCCAACTTTTACACACCACACCTCTAGAATAACCAATCAGTGTCTGCAGAAAAATCTTTTAAGTGTAAGTTGTACCACTAATTTAGGTAATCAGGCAACATATGGCCAGTATTGGGGCTCAGAATACAATACCCCAAAATATCACACTTTGGCAGGCTGATTACTTTGAATTAAAAGTGTCTGGAGGACCTCAGAAGTAAAGCTCTCTGCTCTGACCACCTCCTGCTCCTCTTTCTCCCTTGAAGAAGTCATAGAAACGAGAATTCCTTTTCCCCTGGGCAGTATATTACAAACTAGAACCTTTCTTCCCTACAAAGAGACATAAATCTAGAAAGGTCCCCTTCCCTTCCGCCCTGAAGACCTTCATTCCATAGGACTCCGGGCTGGTACACTACAGGAGGAGGTTATACAGAGAAGCCAAGAAAAATCTGAACAAACAGGCCTTGCTGGGTTTTCCCCACTTAGCTATTACCATTACCATACTCTTTTTGTCCAATCACATTTCTACATGGTTGTCCATTCTTCATTGAACCTAATCACAAATTTAGACAGTTTTCCTTGGGTCTTTCGGACTTCATTTCTGAAGGCTCCCATGGAGGGTAAAACTTTGATTAAATAAATCTGTTACGCTTTTATCTTGTTAACCTGTCTTTTGTTATAGGAGTGTCAGCTGTGCCCCTTATGACTGATGAGGAAAGTTATCACACCTTTTCCATCTTTAACATCAGATTCCATACAGATAGATTATTTTTTACCTCCTAGCTTAAAAATACATGTCATTATTTAAAAGGGTGGACTAACAAGAATAGGTGAATGGCATTTTCCAGGATTGAGCCATTCTTTGAAAACTGGAAGCATATGACCTACTTAAACGTCACCAGAATTAGTCAAGTATAATTTGTAAATGTGAGACATCTCAATTAAATAAAACTTCCAGTGTTTTTATAAAAGAACTTAAAACAATGAAGTTATTTGTTCATAACACTACAAAATATATTACATTATCTAATGTAACCATATCCAATCATATGTTCATAATTTCTGGTTCAAAAAATAATACATAAAATGAATCTGTATCCAATTCAGGGTATTTACTGATCCTCTTAAGTCAATTTCAGAACTCTTTACATTAACAATTCCTGCTATAGAATCTCACTTTATTTGGGAGGCCAAAATTATAAATTTCAGATCAATTACTTCCCTTACTTACCAGCCTTAGCAGCAAGAGACTTTGGAGTATTTAAAAAATTAAACTCCAACCTCGAAGAAAAAAATTAGTCAGCAATGAAAATATTTAACATAATACTACATACTAAGGTTTAAAAGCAATTAATTCCAGAAGTGTGATTCTAAAAAAGTGTTTCTGCCATAGCAGGACTGGTACAGCATATACGTAGTTTATCAAGGTAACAACTTCTAAGGGAACAAACATGTCAAAAATGAGTCACCTTATTTTATAAGCATACCTTGTGAGAGTAGCTCTTAAAGGTCAGTACAAAATATGACTTGGAGTAAGACTGACTTGTAAGAATTTTGTGAAGTTAATTTTCCAATACGAAAGCCACCAATAATAGTCTGCCATTCTTTTCTATTAAATAGCATAAAATTTCACCTTTTGAAAGTTCTGAACAAACAGAACAATTGAGACAAGGAACCAATAAACACCTAAAGTTCAGTCAGCATCAGGCCTTATTTCAGTCAAACTGATTTTGCAGTGAATTTTTCTATTAACAAGACCATCTAATTTAAAAGTATTCCATTTTAGACAGGAATTATTCGATTTTATTATCTCAGGATATATATTTTTTAACTGTACGAAAATAATGTTTTCAAAAGCGTTAGGGGCCCGACGAGGTGGCTCATTCCTGTAATTCCATCCCTTTGGGAGGCCGAAGCGGGTGGATAACCTGAGGTCAGGAGTTCGAGACCAGCCTGACTAATATGGTGAAACCCAGTCTCTACTAAAAATACAAAAAATTAGCGGGGCATGGTGGTGTGCACCTGAAATCCCAGCTACTCAGGGGGCTGAGGCAGGAGGGCTGCTTGAACCCAGGAAACGGAGGTTGCAGTGAGCCGAGATCACGCCACTGCACTGCAGCCTGGGCAACAGAACGAGAGTCCGTCCCGTCCCCCGACCCTCAAAAAAAAAAAAAAAAAGGGGGATGGACTTAACAATGTTAACACTTAACAATGTTAAGTTTTAAATCTTTATTTAAAACGGTGTGAAACTGTTCAGTAAATATACTTGCAAAATGCATATAAAGAAGTAGTTCTCATTTTTTAAAACCATTAGAGGCCATAGACATATGCAATGTAAAAGGCTGCAGCAAACCAATATACAGTAAGAGTTGAAATATTATGAATTGTAAAAATATTTCTAAACTGACCACGATAAAATGAAAAACTCATAGGAAGACAACAGAACAATCAAGATGAACCTAAGATAATTCTTGAGCGTGGGGACTACACTATGAAAGAAGTGAGAAATGTACAGGCACTGGCACCTGTGAGATGGGGAGAGGCTGCTGGAACTGGGTAAATCTTAAGAGACTCAAGAAGACTGACTACGTGATACGTGACTCTCAGACGAGAAGCATTCACTGAAGAAAACTCTGGCTTCCCTTTCCTTTGATGTTGCAACAGTTCTATTTCCCATTCTTTGTGAAACCTGGAGATTACTCTTCACAATCGTATTTTAACAATTCTGCCGACGCGGCAATCAGGTGGGCAATGGGAAAGATTAGTGGGGAAGCCAGGGCAGCAGGGATACTGGAAATAGACTAGCAGAGAGATTACAGTCAGCACCGATGTGTCAGGAGGGATGAAGGAATCCGAGTTAGAAGCGCTGAGCAGTGGTGCGGCAGGAGGCAGGGAGGGTCCGGAAGAAAACAGTAAAAGGGGGCAGGAGTGGCAGAGCAAACGTGAGACCCAGAACCAAGGGAGGTAAACCACATGAGGAGCTGGTGGGGAGCAGACCTGAGGCGCTGCGAGGTGGTTAGGACAAGCCCGCCCTCCCACCCTACTTTTTCCTCCGGTGGAGAGGCAGCGACCAGTCACCTGGAGTGTGAGTTCCGGAGGGACTCGATCAGGCGCTGTTTCTGCTGCTGGAGGCTGGTGAGGCCACCGGGGGACCCAGCTGCGGACGAGGAGGCGCTCTTGCTCAGGGGAAAGAGCCAGCTCATTCTCCTCGGGTCCCCGGGCCGGAGGCCCTGGAAGGCTCTGGCCTGCTTCTCCCAGCGGCTCGGCCCGGCGGTTCTCCAGCGACAGAGGAGCGGGGTGGCACGTCCGTGGCCCAAGCGCTAGGGACCGCGTCTTCTCTAAGCCAGTCCTACCTGCGCTCCCCGGGTTCTGGGGGACATGCTACGAACGGCGGGAGGCCGGAGAGGGAAACTTGCCGCCCACAACCGGCAGTCCCACCTTCATGGCCGAGACGCCCAAGCCGGCCACTCAGGCAGCCTGGCCACTCAGCGCTCCACAACCCACCCCGCCGTCACCTGCGTGCTCCGCCCCCTCTGCGTGTCGCGTCATCATCTAGCGCCCCCGCCAGGACGTGCGAAAAGCGACGGCGCAGCACGGTACGGCGCAGCTCTTGCTCGCCTTTCCCCTTGCTGGGCGAGAGGTGTCTATGGGGCACCCGCTGCCGCCGCCGCTACCGCCACCGCCACCGCCGCCGGGTGCTGTCTCTATGGCGAGGAGGAGGAGGAGGAGCGCGAGCTCAGCGACACAAGTAGATCTTGCATCCGCCGCAGCCTTGCGGGGGGAGGGGCGGGTTAGGGAAGTAGAAAGGGGGCGGGGACGATGAACCTGAAAGGGTGCGCGATGGCGCCAGCTGGAGTGCGGCTGGCGGAGGAAGGAGCCTGGCGGCGGGTGGGGGGCTGGGTAACTGGGGCTGGGGGGTTTGTCAAGGGGTTGGCGCGTGGTGATGACGCAAAGGCTTTGTACCTGGGGCTTCGAAGTGGGACGGAAATTGGGAGTGGAGGGCGGTGGCCTAGATCCTCAGCTCTTCGTATTCTTTCACGCAGCAGTGCTTGGGAGTCTGTGTAGCTCCAGTCAGTGTTATCAGCACCTTCGCACTGGCGCTCTGCCAGGGAAGAGAGTTACCTATGACTTGAATGCGTCGGTGCCGTTCTCTCGTTTCTCTGGGAACCTGCAGTACGGAGATGCTATCTCCAGTAATGAGAAGGGCTTTGGTGCCTCTTCGGGGCTTCTGGGACTGCAGTAGAGAGAGAGGTGGAGGAAAGCAATGTTAAACTACAGGGTGTTTCCAAATCTGTGTGTTTGTGTGCTTATGTGTGTGTGTATCGGGGTGGGAGAGTTGTGAAGGAGGGGTGTCCTGGATCTCCTTTGGTTACTTTATTTGGAGAATTCGAAGTTACATCTCTGACTCTTCAGAATTTAGAAGACAGCCATAAGACCCTCTTTTTACCCTTTTTTTTTTTTTTTTTTTCAAATTTATGTGGAAAATGCAGAAGAATTTGAAATTTCCCTGCCCAAGAATCAACACGAACTCTGTTTATAGAGCAGAAATATGAGCTGTATCTTTGGTAACCAGGGAATATGCTCTGAGTTTTAGACGTTCTATTGTGTTCTTTTTCCCTTCTGCAACTGCGAACATTCAGATAGTTTTCTGTGGCTGTTACTTTTTTCTGAGAGCATTTACAAACATTTTTGACCCCTCTAGTCTAGTTTGAATAAATGCCAGTAAAGTAGATCTTGTAATCAAGTCGAATTTTGGTTGTATTGTTAATGAGGAATAAAAGTAAATACCACCTTTGGCGTGGTAACATCTGATCTTGTCACGTGTGTAAGTAATTTTTCATTTTTGCCTGGAAATGGATGGCTTTATAAAGTTTTATGCAGAGTAGCTGAACTCAGATAAATCTTCAGCGGAAAGTTATAAAAATATGATTAGTATGTATGCATAAAAAAGTTATTTTAAAATAACTGAAATCAGGACCAGGAAATCTGTGCTGTAGTCCTTTTTTTCCTACAGGCTAGCTGTGTGACCTTAAGTTACTTTCCAAACTTTGATTTTTTTTTTTTAATGAGTCAATAACTTTGAATAAATAGTCTGTTAGGTTCCTGCCAGATCATTCTGTGATTCAGATTTGATATATCTGGTCTTTATATTGTTTTTTTTGTTGTTGTTTTGTTTTGACAGGTACATAAATAAAGGATAAAATATTTTATGAAACAAATCTTCAATCAAGTATAACATTTTGATGCTTGGCATCTAGACTCCCTTGTGCCCTCACTATGCCAGCGGCAACTGTAGATCATAGCCAAAGAATTTGTGAAGTTTGGGCTTGCAACTTGGATGAAGAGATGAAGAAAATTCGTCAAGTTATCCGAAAATATAATTACGTTGCTATGGTATGCCCACAAGCAGGTCTTTAAAACGCTTCATGTAAAGGAGGAAAAGGAAATTCTAAAGTCTTGAGTTCAGCCCTTTTGGTTGATATTTTTAGGGATTAATTTCACCGTGAAAAGAAAAATTTGTCACTGCCCTCCAGCCAAAAACCATCAGGAATACACCTATGATTTGACAGGTTGGGTTTATCCCTCACTGCAGTGAGGGAAAACGCACTGGAATTCCTGGGAACCATGGGCCATTTGAATAAGAGAGCGTTAGAAAGGATTTGGGCTTGTGTCAGGTGGTCTTGCGGAAGGTAAGGGAAGCAGGGCTTTACTGTGGATTGGATGTGGTCAGGAAGCCAGGGTAATTCTGTGATTGGATATCTTACTAAGTCTTAAATGAGAGACTAGAATGAGGTTAAAGCTGCAGAGAAGGAACAGTCATTCATTTAGCCAGGATGGAGATACTTCGTCATTTTGTGGTTTGACATTGTTTATTTTTTTGTCCTTGTTTGGACATGATTACAGAGTAGCCTTATTTGAGGTTGAACTTCTGTGAAATTATGTTCAACAGGAGAACATTAGGGCCTAGCTGTGAGTGCCAGATCTGCTCCAAGCAACACCAGAGCCTACCTGGTAGTACCACATGAGCTCCCAGAAGCTAGGGAGCTCTTTCTCAACAAAAAAATCAAATGTGCCAGTGAAACATTGTTGGTCTGCAATTTGTTTTCATAATTAACACTGGAGTTCCGTGAATATACTGTGTTACTAAGCAACTCTGCTTTTGCACGTGCTGTTCAGTCTGCCTGGATTGTCTAACCAGTTAATGATTTTTCTTCTTTACCTTTACACTATTTCTGTTAGCTACCTACTGTTTTCTGCATCCACTAGATTATTATTAGCTCCATAAAGCAAGTGCTTTAATCGTCCTTTCTCTCCCAGCACCTAGCATAACACATATAGTATCCAATAAAGTGACTGTTGAATTGCACTGAATTTAGAGAAATAGTGATTTCTTTACTGTTTCATAGTGACTTGATAGGTAGTTTTTATTCTTAGCCCTAGTTTGAATTCTAATACTAAACTGATGTATCTTTGTCTCAGTATTTTTAATAAAAATAAACAAATGGATTCCTTTGGGGAGGAGCAGGTTGATTGGTTAAAATATGAATGTTTGTAGGTAACATACTGTTTAATAAAGGTATACTTAGCCATGATTAGAACTAAAATTGTTTTCTTAACCAGTGGAAATTCATAGTGATCATCGATTTCTCAGATAATAAAGAGTGGCAACATAGAGAAGTGATAACATCCTACAAGAGTGAGTGGGTGGCCTGCTATTCTTGACAACATGCTTTCTGTGGACTATAGAGAGAATATTGTTTCAGCCGGAGAAATTAGGAAGCTAATGATGTTTTTCTTAGGATTTTGGTGTTGAGAAAAACCTTGTCTCAGAGAAGCAATTGGAAAGTACAGGGCGTTTTCCATTCTTTTGAACCAGTTCTTCAAGAAACTTGGTTTTAGCATTGGAATACTGTGAGCATCATTTCACGTATCTTTTGGGAGATAGGAATTTATGATTTTCCCCCCTTTCTTGGGTATAGAGTAAGTATTTGGTTACATTTATCACATGTATCTCATACATAGTAATATTTTTGATATATTTAAGAAAAGATTATTAAGTTTATAGAGTTTTATGGTTCTAAAAAGTGAGGTTCTTTCTAGTTAAAAGATACTTTGTAATTGAATATAAATGTGTAGAATATCATCTGTAGGATTATTTGATTTGCATCAAAAGTTAAGAATGTGTGGATTGTAGTTTTGACTGTTCAGTACATAATGAATCTTAAAACTATTTTACAGGACACCGAGTTTCCAGGTGTGGTTGCAAGACCCATTGGAGAATTCAGGAGCAATGCTGACTATCAATACCAACTATTGCGGTGTAATGTAGACTTGCTAAAGATAATTCAGCTAGGACTGACATTTATGAATGAGCAAGGAGAATACCCTCCAGGAACTTCAACTTGGCAGTTTAATTTTAAATTTAATTTGACGTAAGTGGGAAATAACTGTATAACCCAGACTTTTTTTTTCTTTAATCTTAGGAATTGATTTTCCTCAAGTATGGTGACATGCTAGGTGAATTTGGTGTAGTCGTACTGAAAATATGTAAAACTTAACATTTCAAAAGCATGGTTTTCTTTTTTACTATGGGAACAAAAAATACTTTGATGTTAAAGATTTTACATTTAAAATATGACTGCAACTTTTTTTGTATTTGGAAAACTTTGGGTATTGAAAGTACTTCTGATAGAAAAAATAATCTTACCACATTAGTTTAGTTTTACTTTGAAAAATTTTGTGTGCAGTTTGAAATATAGCCTTTTATAATATTTATCCTTGTAAAGATTTTTATTGCAGTCATATTCCAGTTTATGAGTAGATTACATGTCAAATGCAGTAAGACTTTTTTTGGAACCTTGGGTACGTTTTCCTTTCAAGTCAGTATTATATAGTCATTATGTTGCCACTTCAGCCCACAAAGGCTCTTTTAATTTACATATAGTAGAAATAGTAGTGTCCTTGAACCTGGTGTTTATCGTATGTCAGAATCTGCATTCTAACTCAAGCCCTGGGTCTCCACCCAGTTTCCTTAGTTTTAATATTTCTATATTATTATTAGAAGTAGTCTCGATAGCTGAGGGAAGTTTTAAGAGTGTTTTTGGAGAAGGACAGATTATTTGCAAACTGTAAGTTGGGTGAATAAAATAATACATTCTCAGTGTTGCAGGACCTCAAATGTCATTTTTTTCAACATTGTTTCATGGTAACATTCAGAAAAAATAAAATTGATTTCTGACCCGGGCCACTACCTGTGTGGAGTTTTCCACGTTCTCGTGTGTATATGGATTTTCTCCCGGGTCCTCTGATTTCCTCCCACATCCCAAGGCTGTGCATGTTAGGTGAAGTGGTGTGGCTAAGTTGTCGCAGTGTGAGTGAGTAGGTGTATCGTTGTGAGTGCACCGTGCCACGGAATGACATGTTGACCAGCGTTGGTTCCCACGTTGCGCCCTGAGCTGCCAGAATAGGCTCTTGCTTTCTTCACCACTCAGCTGAATAATGGAGCAAATAATTA